GAAGGGGGTGTGTGTGGTGGGGGGGTTAGGGGACCCGGGGGGCTCACCGTGAAGGCGAAGGGGTGGGCGTTGGCCCCTAGCTTGCGCAGCAGCCGCTCCTGTAGGCGGGTGGGGGGGCGCCGCTCCTCGGGCAGGGGGGGCACGGCCTGGCAGGTGGCAGAGAACAGGTCCTTGCGGAACGACAGGCCCAGCACGTCCAGGTCCTCGCGCCCATAGCGGAAGGCGCAGGTCAGCGTCACAAACACTGCGGGGGACGGAGACAAAAGTGGGGCGAGGGGAGGGGCCTCATCCAGCTCCGCCCCCACCTCCCAAACTCTGCCCCCAGCTCCCCAGCCTTGTCCATCTCTCCTAGGGAAGCCGTCCCAGCCACTCCGGGGGGATTCTGCACCACTGCGCACGCGCTGAGTTCACCCCCCCCCGCAGATTTCTTTGCTTCCCCGCAGCAAAATGACTTTCTGACGGGGGAGAACATAAGAACGGCCCGACTGGGTCAGACCAAAGGTCCATTTAGCCCAGTGTCCTGTCTGCCGACAGTGGCCAGTGCCAGGTGCCCCAGAGGGAATGAACAGAACAGGGCAATTATCGAGTGATCCATCCCCTGTCGCCCATTCCCAGCCCCTGGCAAACAGAGGCTAGGGACACCATCGCTGCCCAGCCTGGCTAATAGCCATTGATGGATCTGTCCTCCAGGAACTTCTCTGGTTCTTCTTTGAACCCTGTTATAGTCTTGGCCTTCACAATATCCTGTGGCGAGGAGTTCCCCACGTTGATTGTGCGTTGTGTGAAGAAATACTTCATGTGACCGCCCCCCAGCTGTATGTTTCGGGGGCCCAGGGCAGGCGGCAGAGAGGCAAATCACTGTGGGGCAGGGGGCGGGACTGGGGAAGGGCTCCTACCCTGCGCCAGCTCAGCTGGGCTGGGGAGGACAGGACTTCCTCTTCCCTTGCACGGCATCCGGGGCGGAGTCAGACCCACCCCAGATTTGTCCCCTGGCTGCAGGAAGCTCTGCAAACTCCCCACCCCCCACTTCCTGCACCCGGCACTCCTCAGCTGCAGGGGGAGGGATCCCTGTACAGGGAGCTGCTCTCCCATCCGCCCAATCCCCGTGCATCCAGACCCCCTCATAGCCAGACCCTCCTGGCGAGCCTAATCCCACACCTAAAACCCCCCTCTGCACCTGGACCACCCCAATGAGCCACCCACACTCAGACTCCCTGCTGAGCTCTATCTCCCCCCCCACATCCCTGCACCCAGAACCCCCCAACAAGCCCCTGTGCATGCAGATCCCCTCCACACCCGGATCCCCCACTGAGCCGCCCGCACCCAGACTGCCCCACACAGAACCCTCTCAACCCACACCTGGATCCCCCCCCACACCTGGATCCATGCCTTGCTGAGCCTGCCTGCCCGCACCTGGTGCACCTGGCACGGAGGGGCAGGGCCCTGGGGTGTTTCTGGGGCCGGCCCTGTCCTGGCGCCGAGTCAGGGTTGGAGCCTCCACATTTATTTGGGAAATTTGCAGAATTTTGCAGTATTTTAAACCATCATACGCCTGTGCGCTCTTGTGGCTTCCCCAGAAAGTCCTTTTGCTGCGGGGAAGCAAAGAACTCTGTGGGGGACAGAAATTCTGCGCACGCACCATGGTGCACTATGCCCCCCAGCAATCCATGACGTTTTCCCATGGGCAGTACTTGGCTCCTTTCCCACGGGACGCTGAGCTGACAGCCCCCCGGCGGGGAGAACAGAAACGCGAGGGGCGAGGCCTGAATGCTCAGCCCCGCCCCCAGCCAGTCAGGGTCAAAACAGGGGGTGGAGCCTAGAATTGCCCCCTGCCCCAGGCAGATTCCCCTCACGCCTCCTCTCACCTTTCCGATCCTTCAGGTACTCAGGGTCCACCAGCACCACGCCATCTGCACGGGAACCGGGGTGGGGGTGAGACTGGGGCAGGACCCCACAGCCCCCTAGCAATCCCCAACCGCCACTGCCCGCCCCCCACTTCCTCCCTAGACTCCCAACCACCCCATAGCCATCCCTACCTCCCACGGAGCCATCCCCACCACCTGCCCTCCACCGCCCACCGACCCCCAAGCACCCCATAGCCATCCCCATCCCCATGAGCCATCCCGCCTACACCCTTCACTGCCCCCCAAACCCCAAAGTACCCCATAGCCATCCCCACCCCCCCTGAGCCAACCCCACAGCCAGCCCTCCACTGCCCCCCAGAGCCACCCCAGTCTCCCAACCACCCCATCCCCCACCCCTCCAGAGCCACCTGCCCCCCCAAACCCCAGCCCCCCACTACTCCCCAGAGCCTCCCACAGCCCCCTCACTGTGAATCCTTTCCCCAATCCCCATGGCCAGCCCCCCCCAAACCCCTCACCAGCCCTCCAACTCCCCCCCCCGCCAAACTCACCCACGGGATCCACCCGGTCCAGGTGATCCACGAAGTCCCGCTTCCCCAGATAGACGGTGAGCTGTGGGGACAGATGGACACGGTGCTGGGAGTGGGGGGGGGGAGGGAGGGAGGGGACAACCAGCCCCAGGTTCGGGGAGGGGGTCTCCCAGCTCAAGACCCCCCCAATTAACCTCCCCAGGCCCCTGCTCCCCCCGGTCACCTGGGTCCCCAGCTGTTTCCTGAACACTGGGAGGCCTCGGGGCACCTTGCAGCGAATCCAGTCCAGCTCGAGGGGCTCCATTGTCCCCCCCCGCCTCCTTCCAGCGCTGGTGCCTGTTTACCTGCCGGCTCCCAACCCCCCCGGGACTCTGCAGGGGGGGCCCCAGGGACGGGGGAAGCCAATCAGGAGGCAGCGAGGAGTGGGGGGGAGGGCAGGTGCGTGGAGACCCAACGTAAACAAACCATCGCTATGGGGTGGCAGTGGGGGAGAGTTTAACCTGTTGCTACCTGGAGCTGGCAGGGCCCATCTCCCCGCACCGGACCCTGAGATGACCTCCTGCCGCCAATACCATGGAGAAGAGCCCCTCCAGGACCTCTCCCACACTCTCCTGGGCCCCGCCTCCATCCCACATGCCCCGCCTCCGCCATCCCCAGGCTCTCTGTGCACAAGCCCCCCAGCCAAGCCGTGCGAGGACTGGACGCTCACTAGTGTGTGCAAAGACCCGTGCGACGGGAGGGCGGGGAACAGGATCCCCATGTCAGCGCACGAGGGAGGAAACCAGGCAGGGGAGAAATCGCAACCGGAAACCAAAGTGGGGAGCGACCATTTCTCACACGCAGCGCCGAGGCTGGAGGGCAGGGGCTGCGGGTCAGGAGTGAGGGGCACCGACAGGGTTGGGCTGGCAGGGGGCTGCGGGTCGGGAGCGAGGGGCACCGGCAGAGCT